TCAAATGTGAGTTTCTCTTAGAAACGTATGGCAATTTAATGACGCTCTGTAAGTGTCATGTAGGGCGATTCAAGAGAGCTTATTTTCGCTGACGGATCGTTCGACGATTGGGGCAATATTAAGTGCTGATTCGCATTTCAGTAGGATGAGTGAGAGTTTGGCCTCAGATTCCTTGAAGGGGACTTCAGAAAAATTTCTTCTGTGTTCTTTGTCTGCTCATATGGGAAAGTAGATGACTGCGCAAAGGAGGCTTGAGTTGTAGAAACTTACATAGGAGAGACCAGAAGGACAATAAGTATTAGAGAAGGAACATCTGGCTAGTCAAAAAGAGAGGTACAATTTGTCGTTGAGAAGATACAGTGAGAGGCATATTGTCATAACTATTCCAATATAGAATGCGCGTTATTAGCGTATGCCGAAATCTTGCGCAAAAGATATTAGAGGCAGCTAATAAATGGCTTAGCAATGAAAGGATCTATTGCCCTTCATAACATTATATTATACGTACTAATTGCTGACTATATATGCTCCTGTCCCACTGGGCAGCCTTTAGTAAAGTCCTTTACATTCGATGCACTACTGATTCCTTGAAATTTTTAGTACTTTGATCCTAGACAAGGTCTGAACGTCGAAAGAGAGAGAAAGCCGTTAACCAGATGAATTGACAGACACAAAACTCTAAGTCCTTTCACACCTCCGGAGAAGACGATACTTGTCGAAACCTTGGGCGATAAAGTTCGTCATAAAAACTTGTCTGGCACTAGACCATTTACAATATACACTTTTGATTATCGAAATATTCTGTCGATTTGAAATTTGAATTTGAATAACAATTTGAAAAAGGTATAGCACGGAGTGACGAAAAACGAAAATCTTTCGGAGTGACCTAGTTAATGTCAGATGTGTACGAACGAAAGTTGGAATATTTGCAGGGAATTTCGTCTCCAAGTATGCACATTATTTCGTAGCTCTGAAAGTTTACTAAGCCAACCCATATTACAAGCTACTACCTTTCAATCCTCCACGGTTCAAAAATAATTTGATATTGACTAAACAACTTCTACCTTTACTTTTTTGAAACTTCTGTCAGATGTGTGTTCATTTTTACTGCAATGTACTAAAAATGAATGAATAGAATGGCCCAGCGACTCGCCGCAAAAAGTAACCCATGTTTCTTTTGCTTATTTGTTTCTTTCTTCCAAAAAAGCTTTTGAGTAATTTTTAGCTAATTGCAATAATAAAAGCCACCTTCATGTACTTCGTACTAACCATCACAAACACGCAAAGTCTTTCACACACTGCAACCATGCGGGTATACAGTAACAAGGCAAACGACATTGAATATATATGCTGAGAAATTCACTTCGAAAAGACGTGTGCGGATCCATTTTCGGTTTCAAAAAGCACATCAAAAGGAAGTGCAAACTTGACAGTTTGCGAAATCTCAAATCGGAACAAGGGGTCGAAACAACGGCGAAAAAAGTTTTCGCATCCTATCCTCTCAACCGTAAAGGTGAAGCTGAGATTTCATGAACTTGGTAATTTTACGGCTGTTACGGAACTATAACATAAGCAATTATGGATTGAGTGGTTTCAAAAGTTCTACAGGTTTTTAACTCTTCTAAGCTGCTAACATTTTCCAGAAACAACGCATGCAATGTAAGCTCTTTTCTTCTACTTTTTCACACATGGTCTTGTATTGGAGCTTTGTTCATTCTGTGGCGCACCTTGTCAGGACAGCAAAACATATATGAGATTTTTCCTCTTTTTGACCAACTGCTTTGAATTCTACTAACAAAAAGAAGAAACTTTTTTTTCGAAACGTAAGTCATGTTTGCTAGGCATTTGTGCTATTATGCTTATTGAAACAAAATTTTAGAAGATTTTTGAACCGAAACTTTTAGCATAAACATGACCTATCGTCGTTTTTATAAGTCTCATAAGAATCATAAGCATATTGCAATCGCAGGACTTTCGCTCTCGTAGTTATATTAAGCCGAGATAATTCGATTATCGGATTAGAAAGAAAAAAATGTCGCTTTTTATTTCGTCATGGCATCGCAACAAGGCAAATCTTAAGAACATGTGTGGACAACCGTTCGATAGAGCAAGGCAAGCTCTACAACAGAGCACTATTGTTTCCGCGTCAAGCTCGAAACATGTGAAGTTAGAAGACGGAAACTAAAAAATCTCAAATGACTAAAAAATTTGAAGAAAAAACGTTTCGTCCAAAAGATATTTGTACGGGCCCCCAACTTGCTCACGGACATACACACCTCATCAAACATTCATACGGTTAGTTTAATTTTAGATGTTGCTCGGAAATTAACGTCCATTCTAAATTTGAACCGCAGTAAGTCATACACCTCAATTCTAGATAGGTTTCAAAAAACCGTTGGATAAAGCAAAGCAAGCTCTACAAGATGCCAATCTTGCTCATGCACTAGCTTTAAACCACCTCGAGTTTGAAGTCAAAAACTAGAAGGATTCAAAAACCCGAAGAAACGAGAAAAAACATTCAGAAATTCTAGCTTGCTCACATAAACACTATCCACATAACATCTATTAGATTGCGTAGTTCTATTCCATTTTTTCTTTCGAATTTTATAATAATCACCCTCATTTAGAACAAAGTGTATATGCTTCTGAAAGGTCTAAGTTTGCCCTGCCAATTATTACTTCCGATCCCCCAGCTTAGCAAAATCTTGAGAGCGATCACTGGCATGAAGAAAAATCTGGGAAGCAAAAAATCCATTTTCGACATCTATTTACTCTTCAAATTTCCCAAACATTCTCGTTGTTGCTGCAAATAATGAGGAGGCATAGAACCGCCAAACATCTACTGATTAGAATTCCTTTTATTATATTTGTAATGGTCATCACTGAAAAGAGATGATAAATCAAAATTGCACTTCGGTAAAACTTCTGCAACAATCCAATAGATCGTTCTTCACTATCAAATGCATGAGGTCTTCGACTTAGGGTTTTGTTATGTTTGTTGGAGTGTTTCCACTTTATGAAAATGTTGAGCGATACTGCGTTCTAGAAATTGCAAGTAGCTTTCTGACCTTAAAATTGCTGAATGAGTTGAATTATCTTCAATCATTTGATCAAGCTGTTTAACAAATGGGATGTCTACCAATTTCGGCGGAGACTCCCTATCAGGTTGACGCAAAAAGATTGGCCGTTTAGCGAATTCCCCAGTAGGACAAAAGGAGACAAAAAGGATTTGGGCATAAAAGATCTGCGGAGATAAAAAAAATTATAGTCCAAAATTGCCATTTTTTCAATTCCCAGTAGGCGTAAAGTCCTGAATTATAGAATATTCTGATTTTCTATGTTTTAAACACATGATTTTTGCAGAGTCTGGCAACAAGATGCCCTACCTGCACGCTTACAGAAATGACCAACCTTTTGACCGCTGCCTGAAATTATGGGTCACAGAATGACCGTAACGGATATATGTTGAGGCGCCCATATCATTCTAAGTATATTTGAAGAAAATAGTCAAGTGTGCGTAATGTAGGCACTTTCTTATATAAGCACTAGCTGGCTTACCCGGCTCCGCCGTATGTTCCGAATGGAAAATTCCATTTCTTAAATGATCCGGACGAAACTTGGCACACATACACTTCGGGCCTCGGCGGATGTCACAGTCCACTTTTCGTTACCGATCGATGTCGATTTTATCGATTTTTCGCAAAATTTGAGCTAGGGGGCTGGGATTTGGCACAGGGGGGGGGGGTAATCGAGCATGCTGATCACCCCCTAGCTCAAATTTTGCAAAAAATCGATATATTCAATATTGATCGATGACGAAAAGTAGCCTATGACACCCGCCGGGGTTCGAAGTGTATGTGTGCTAAGTTTGGTCCCGATCGGTTCAGAAATAGAATTTTCTATTCGGAACATACGTACACACAGACAGACAGACATACAGACAAACAGACATTCAGCTTTATATATAAGAGTAGCAAAATTCTCGAAGAAGCGTCTTTACTCGCGTTTAATTCTTGCCAGACCAGTGACCAGCAAAGAAATATGACTAGGGATGCGGTTACTTAGAGCTTGGCTTTTTTAGCAAATGAGACTTTAAGCCTGCTTCAATCATCATTAGAAAACGCATAAAAAGGGCTTCTCCACAGTGTGCTGTGTAAATTTTAAAGGAGAAAAGTTGTTTTGAAAAAAGGCTTGAAAAACAACCATGATTTTTGCATCAACCCAATACTTCCGCCAACCAGCTGGTGTACATGCAAGGGCTTATGGTCACCCTTCACAAATTTTCATGGTCAAATACACGACTTTATAAAACACACATAACAGCTATCTTAGGAAAAAACTCTCAAAAAATTTCTATCTTTCCACTATTTGAATTATTCTTGATGTCAACTGGAGTGGCCTCTTCCACACTTTTCACGCTTCATATATTGCTCGACCAACAATACCACTGAATATGCACATGAAGAAAAGATAGACTGATTCAGGTGTGAATAGCAAATGTGATTGTTTAAGACGCGCTTTGACGTATTTATTGTTGGTTTCTTTTGTTTCTTGATATGTTGCATCTGAAACAAAAACTTAGGTGGCTGTCAAATTTGGACGGTGATTCGGGCTTACAAAAAGTCATTCTCTCTTAGCATCTAGAGAGAAGTTGTTGTGAGCTATTCTCAAAGTTGAGCGATGGTTGACAAATACTTTATGTTGCCAAAAGTAGAAATTTTAATTAAATAAAGCAGTTTACGAGCCAGGTACTTTGAACATGAGCAAAGGACATCTGTTTCCAAAGTTCAAGCAATGAAACAATCGCGGATGAAAATGTATTAAACATTACGGAGTTGCAATCTTGCAAAGAAAATTACAAACACAGCTAAGCGAACGGATAAGCTAAACAAAGCTGCTCGCACAATAAGCCGGTCTACGCACTAAACCCGGTGCACTTGTCCATCGATATAAAAACGTGGGTGACCAAAATTCACTTCACCACCATCACTAGTCAAGTAATGTTCATCCATTTGTTCGCGGTTTTACCAATAGTTGAGGTGCTTTATATCCAGCTTGTTTGTGGCTACTGACGATTCATTCAGGTATTACCGGTAAAAGATGAAGTAAAAGACCATTGTAAGGGTGGGATTGAGAAGAAAGAACTGCAAAAGTTGGGTTTACCTGGCTATGGATGGAAAATCAAAGCACTGAGCTCGATTAACAGGCACTTCGAAGGAATTGATATTGTTAGTTCAATATTTCAGAAACTGTCTGCCAAACTAAATCATGCGATCTATAGATTCTGACTGCAAGTTTGCTCTTTTTAGAAGTACTGCCCACAAGCGGAGGGATTGGCCAAACGTTGTTTAAAATATGACATCGACGATCCAACAGTCAATCGTGAGCTCTGTAGGCCATTCTCTTATACGTGAGCTTTACCAAATCTGCATTATCATTTCCTTCTTCATTTTCTCATTTTAGACCTAGCAAACATTCTGGTACTCCAGTAAAAAGAAAAGACATCGCTTTTTTACTTGGACCAGAATATGACAAGTATTGTTATGATCCGTTGAGTAAGTAGCATTTACATCCAGTCCAACAAGTACAAGAACGTTCATTCAGTGCCAGTCGTCCAAATTACGCATTCATTTGGTAATTATTCGATAGGAAACAGAAAAGTTCATTTATGTTTGAACTTTTTTGTTATATTCTACTTTATGATACGTCCGCCAATTGTTAAAAATTCATACACTCACACTTGACATCAAATCCTAGTACAAATTTCTCATCGAATCTGGGTCAAGCAAGCTTCTTCAAATCAGAGGCGCTCAAAATTGTCTGTGGCTACGCCTTGGCTAGATAGTTCTGCTATCTGCCTCCAGTGGCGATAAAGGCAGCTAAGACTATTCGAGATATAAATTTATTTAAGTAATTGCTTCAACAGCCATGCATATGCTTGTAATAGCTTCGCCGCGTAGTAACTGTTTTTGAAGTTTTAATTTCGGATTGATGTTCAAGTGTTTTCGCTGTTCCGCTGTAGGTGTACTTATTATTACAGGCAACTACTATTTTCGAACCTTTATTCCCAATGCAAACTCTTTTTCAACCCGAAAACAATCTGATTTGCTTTTCTTTCATCGGTAAGCTCTCCTAATTTACAAGGGAAGGACGATCGGTCAAAGTGGCCATTTGGAATGATCTCTACACTAGAAAATCCTTAGTGGTAAGGAAATCACAAAACTACTTTCGTTGGTTGCCGAACGGTGGAGTTATGAGGCCAATTTTCTCCTGCACAGCCGTCGCGCTTACTAGCGAGGCGCCAAACCCTTTAACTGAATTTGGCAGTGGGGTAGTGGCAAGGCAGCGGACTGTGAGGCAGAAGGTCGAATGTTCAAATCCTGATGATGGTTTGTTTCGCAGTTTTGTAAAAAGTCTATTGGATGACAATAAACGAGAAACACCTCATTGCTACGAAGTTGAAACAAGCTATTTACTGCAAAAAGCCGCTATTCCTACAATCAGCTGAAATTTTCTACAATATGTAAATCTGTGGGAATTATGATGTTAAAGTAATGGTTTTCACTGATATGTTAACCAATACCACCACAGAATACTCAAAAAAAGCTTCTGCAGCGCCGCACTTGCAAAAATGCAACAAGGCAAGTGCTAAGTATGCGCATATAGCAAGAAACTCTGCTGCCAATCATTACGATGTTGTCGCCACAGCTACGTGTTAATATATCATTGAAATCCATTATTGTAACATCATAACCCTCTCATAATCCCCATAGATTCACGTATTGTAAAAGATTTCAGCCGTTTCTAGGAATAGCGGGTTTTTGCAGTAAATAGCCTGTTTCAACTGCGTAGCAATGAAGTATTTCTCGTTAATTGCCACCCAATAGACTTCTTACAAAACTGCAGAACAAACCATCAAAAGGATCCGAACATTCGACCACCTACTTCACACCTCCGCCTTGCCACTGCGCCACTATCACACTCGCTCTGCGAGTTTCAGCGCCTCACACATTATTGAACGCGACTGCTGCGCCGGAGAAAAATGGCCTCATAACTTCAAAACCGTTCGGCAACTAGCGAAAGTACTTTGAAATTGCCTTATCAATAAGGTCCTCCTAATATAGAGCTCATTCCAAAAGGCCACTTCAACCAATCATCCTTTCCTTGTTAGAATTTTGTCATCATGCCTGTCACTGTCAATCTTTCGTATTTATTTAACAATGAGGACGGGGAGCTGGTATAAAGTGGGTAAGGTGACCTCCACTGTGACATGTGCACAAGGACGAGCAGAACCAGTTCCTCAGTTGGTTCACTAATATCTCAGACATTGGATCGGACCCCTCCGGCGGAGAAATGGCAGGGCCGCGGGGTTTCCCCAGCGGGGTGTCTGCCACTCGTGCTCCGGAGCCCCCAATTTTGTGCTCCGGAGACCTCCCATTTCTGCTCCGGAGCCCTCCCATTTTGTGCTCCGGAGACCTCCCATTTGCGCTCCGGAGGTCTCCCATTTTGTGCTCCGAAGATCTCCCATTTTGTGCTCCGGAGACCTCCCATTTGGGCTCCGGACCCCTCCGATTTTCTGCTCCGTGGCTCGTCCAAATCTGGCGGACTCGCGGCGGGCAAATCTCTCCGCCGCGGCTTTGCCAAATCTGGCGTACCTCCGGAGCAGAAATGGCGTACCTTTGCAGCAGATCCGGAGAAGGGTCCCACTCGCCTGCCGGTGACGTCACCGCGACCTACAAGAAGGGACCGCCCCCTCGCCCCGCTCTCATTGGCCAACTGGGTCCGCCGCGACTCTGGCAGATTTCGACTGTCCGCCGGAGGGGTCCGATCGATTGTCTGAGATGCATTACATTTTTAACTGCTATATCAGCAAATATTGTTTGACCAGCAATTAGTTAGATGCTACATGGAGTCCTTGTAGCAATTCGACGAATCCTTGTTCAATGTTCGATACAGTCGACACAAAATATTACATGACTGAGATTCTCCGTTTCTTAATACATTCAATTTCAAGATTCCTTCACCAAATTATTCAATATTGATTGTTCGTTTTCGGGTTTGGAAACTTTGCAATTTCGAAAAATTTTATTTTTTAAACTTTGAAGGATTGATTAGGCGATATCTTTGATTTGAATATGGTCGAATACTCAAGTTCAAAGTATTTCAAAATATACTAGTAATGCTGCTATAAAATTTGCGCAGCGGAATATTGCGCAAACAGGGGATTATAATAAATAAACAAATGATTTTTAAATTACTTTAGCAAATGCATAAAATGTATGAAATTGTAGCATCAGAAACATACAGTCGAGTAGATTTTCCGCTTAATATAGTGTGCCTGCACAGAAGGTGAAATGCTGTGAAATTTGCTCGTGAATAAATAGCCACGCCAGTACTGCCGGTAATTTGCGCGCGCAATTAACCGGCGTCCCGGTCGAACTACAGACCCATCGGCTCCCCGACTGCTGCGAGGGCGGTCGCGATTGTCAACCGATAATCAATTTATCAGCTATGTTTCAACACAGGGCAACTGCATTGCTGATACGCTCGCCCGGGTCCGCCCTCGCGGCAGTCGGGGAGCCGATGGTAGTTTTCTTTCGAACAACCATTTACTTACGTTTCCAGATATGCTCCGTCGACAGTTCACATCCATCATTGCATTTTCGATCTTCACTATTCCGGACATGTGCATGGGTTGCATGAATCGTCTTCTTCTTTCTTTGCTTCATTCTGATGTTGCCACTGCTTCCAACATTTCTTGCATTGGTACTTGGTTGGTCAGCTAGTTTTCTTTTGTTGACAAGTTCGCAGAACTTTTCTTTAAGCCCTGTTGTCTTGCACTTCTTACTGAACCACGACTTTGCTTTGCAATCCTTGAACAAGTGCTGCCCAAAACAATTCCAGCATTCCAACATCTTGCGTTCTTCTTTGATTGCTTCTACCACTCTCGTGCTATTCTCCTATAGTCTCGCTACCCTTCTTCAAGCTAAGAAAATTTTCGCATTCTGAATAGAGTTCTTGTAAGGTCATCTTGCGTTCGGCTTTGTACTCCTTGTCCAGCACTGCAATAAGTCTTTGCCTTATTTCAGCTTCCTTAGGACTCCTCAGTCCGAAAATCTATAGTAGACACTTGATTCCGTCGCTATCCAGATCATGGATCTTCGCTTTTTCGCGGAGTTCGTTAACTCTTCCAGTATACAGGAGGTAATCTACGAACTCTTTCTTCTCCAGCTTTAGACACTGATACCTTAGTGTAAACGGCATGCCTTCGTGTCGAAAAGTTGCTTCAGGTTTGAAACTGTCTCTTCGAATCCTATAGCGGTCACTTGTCTTGGTAGTACATGTCTCTGATACTTTTCGAAGTCTTCTCTGTCTAGCTTCTCACAAAGAAGTCGCACTTTAGCACTTTCCGTAAGCGGCTTGGCATCTTCGCTGAATACGTCCTTGTAACGCGCTACCACTGGCTGAAGCTAAGATTGGCTTCAGGATCGGACGTAAATTTCTCGACCTTATTGCTCAAAACGCACACAAGATTCGGCGCATCTGCTGCGGTACTGCTCTGCCCAGTAGCTGCGCCTTGTCCACGAGCGAAGGCTTCAAGAAGAGCCTTCATTTATTCTTGTTGCAGACGCATCCGCTCCTGCATGATCTGCAGCATGCTCTCCATCGAAGAGACATGCTGTCTGGTCTCCAATGGTTTGATGTCCATCGCTTCGTCGTTCATCACTCTGCCATCCGTTAGACTGCCGTCCATCGGTCTGCCGTTCGTCGAATGAGTCTTCTTCTTTCTTCTCGAGTCTCCGCTGCTCATCCTGATCGCCAATTTGTTGTGTTCGTGAACAGCTTCAGCGGAGACTTTTATCTGCCCTCCAGCGACAAGGAGTAAAAGTGAACGTTTTTACGCGAACTAGGCTGCTATTTATAGCCTACTTATTTACATAAACAGATCATAATGGAAAACATCAGATTTTTCTATCAATATTTCTACTTAGCAGCCTTCACTAGTACAGTCCCAACAAGAACGATCCGCGGTGACACCAAAAATCCAATGAACAAATTCCGTTTTCCCTGTTGTCACTATGACACTTTGAGATCCTACAATAACGTCAAAAACTTAGTTTTTGAAGATTTCTATTTTAGCATTTTGAAGGATATTGCCATGTAGAGCAAGTATGCACTGCGCTATAGTTATCTCAAATTGCAAAATCAAGGTAGCTCCTAAAGTTTTCGAGGAGTACTTTCTAAGAAAACCTTGGGTTAACTAACTTCTAATGCATTAAATGGTCTTTGGGTATTGTCAAAGGGAGCGTTATCGACGTGGACTAAAACCTTGAGACGTTCTAACATACATACGTAAATCTTTCACATTTTCCTTTGTAGGGTAATCTATTTAATTTTATGTTTGGAATTGGCGAAGGGAGACAAAATTTTTCTTCCAAATTGGGATGTTCGAGAAGATTACGAAAATGGTCCTGTAACTGAACTTTGTGGAAAAGGCACAGCGGCAGCCAGAAAACAAAAAAAAATTCCAAATAACTTAAAAAATCTTTCGCTTACTCACGAGGGGCAGGAAAGGCTAGCTTATGCGCATTTTACAGCAGGTCGCGTGACTTCTGCTATGGAGAAGAGAAAGAATGGTGGTTTTGGATAAACTGGAGAATGGCCTGGCAAAGCCAGATATGCCTTTTGTTCTACAAAGCTCGCAGCATTATCTGAAAGACAATTGTGACTCGCAATTCAAATTTACCCTGTTGATGCATTACGTCAAATACGTTTGAGCAGTACAGTCACTGCTTTGTTATGAAAGTCAGCAATATTTGAAAGAGCGCCTTCATATGAATAAAAGGACAGAATTGAGTCTATTTTCGTTTTTACACCCCCTTGAATACACTATTCTTATGATTTCAGAAACCGTCTTATGTATCATGTGCCAGGGACCGTCTTTACAAAAGTCATGTATATTCCTGCGTCTTCAAGGACGAAGTCAGCTCAGTTAGAATCCTAACGCATGAAGAACTGGGCTCAGCCATAACTAGACTATTATACTGTCCTAATTTTACAAGCGTGGAACAGAGTGACAGTGAATCGACATAGTACATTGACGATCATGCATCATGCACATGCACCTTAAGTACTCTCGCTGCAAAGGCAGCAGTGTAGATTTTCGTTGGAACCGAATATTTTCGAATATTCGAACATTCGAATGAAATTTCGGTCAATTTTTTTCGCTTCGTCGAATTAACAAATGTCAATAAAGGTTTTTTTCATTTCGAATGATCAAATAGAGCACTTTCCTGATTTCGCCTTATCTAGTTCAATAAATCATTCGACTACAAATATTCGAAAATAATCGGTACCAACTATAGTGTAGATCGTTCTTCCCTTGTAAAAATAACATAAACCAATAATTCCGCACATAATATTTTTCGTCATTTTATGATTGGTGGTTTAGCTTTTTATTTTGGAAATAAACTTTGTATCGATATTGTCTTTTCAAGAGAGTCCTGCACAGAAAGAGCTCCATTAGAGCAATGGAATTGAGACACAGATTTTCATGGATTGAAACATTGTCTTGAGCATCTAAAGTGTGTTTTCATAAGACCATAAAATAGTTTCTCAAAAACGACGGTCTGTATGCGGTACTTACGACAAATTGAGATACTCTTCTATGACTAAGGCATCTTGAGATCAAATGGGAATTTTGTGTAGAAACGTGTGGCAATTCCTTCTTTAGTGACGGCACTTTCTAAAGGCGGCACGTAGCGCGATTCGAGGAAGCCTTTTCGCTGCCGGAATCAAAATGGGCATTACTAACAAGGAATAGTTAAGGTGGCCTTTTTAGATGCATGCCATATTGTAGGGCATAAGATGCTGATTTCAAATCTGCTTTCCTTATCTGCAAAACGTTTATAAGCGAGGAGTTAAAAGCGCTTGATGGAACAAAGAGTTGAATGTACAAGTAGGACAAAGAAGCCGTAATACTTTTCCTACTCTTCAATTGGAGCAGTGATAATCATCAGAGCACTTTATTCAAAAAATGCTTTAAAATTAAAAATATACCACGCTTGTGGCCGTATTCATCAACGAACCCTGAGGGTTAAACTAACCATGGAGATTTAATTTAACCCTGGAAAGCTATTAACCCGTATTCATGAAACACAGGATAGACTTAACCCTGAGGGTTAAACCTACCCTTGAGGGTAAACTTTACCCCGAAAGCGACTAACCCATATTCATCAACGAATCCTGATAAACTAACCTTGGAGGGTAAAACTCACGTAGTTCGTCAGGGTTAATTTAACCCTAGATTAGGGCAAGGTTAACTCTACCCTAACACTTCATACAAACATTTACTCGCATCTAACAGTTTTATGGAAAACGATCAACGAGTATTGTAGTATTTAGTATTAGTTGTTGTAAGTATTTGATTTTATGGTCAAATTCGAAGTACACGAAACACTGTCTTCGCAAGTAAAAGAATTCTAGCCTTGATGACAAATGAATGCGACGAGGAAAAATGTTGTGCATTCCATTCTGACATGTGCCAAAACAGAAGAATTCCTTTATGATAACACGCATTGTCCCTTAAAAGAGTAGCACAAGCCCGGTATATAACGAACTGCGCAAAAGTAGAACTTACACGGCGCAATTGCACATATGAATATGATTTCACGCTGTAGGATTGGCCCTACCCTTTGGTCGATGAATACGGCCAATGAATCTTGAGGGTTAAACTAACCCTGGAGGGTAAGTTTAACCCTCAGGGTTCATTGATGAGTAAGGCCATTGATTGCATTATTTGAGGGCTAGTAAGAATTAGCAACTCATTTTATCCAAAATGCGCATTCAATTTTTGCCTTTGAACCCTCATTAATCCTTGTTTACAAACGTTCTGCAGATAAAGGTGAACAGTTTTATATCAGCGTTTTATGCCCTTTGGTATGGTATACATCTTATCTAGAAAGGCACTTTGGCTAAACAAGTTTCCCTTGTAACGGTTATTTTGCGTTTCAGTAGGATTTGTGAAGTTTGGCCTCAAAAAATTCTTTGAAGGGGACTTCAGAAAAGTCTCGATTGATCGCTTCTATGTTGTTCGTCTTCTCGTATAGATAACTGCACAAAGCTTGAACTGTAGAACAACTTACGTAGGAGAGACCGAAAGGACAATAAGTATTAGAGAAGGAACATCTGGCCGGTCAAAAAGTGAGGTACAATTCATCACTGAGAAGATAAAACGAAAGGCGAGAGGCATTCTGTCATAACTATTTCAATGTGGAGTGCGATATTAGCGTATGCCATAATCTCTCGCAAAAGACATTAGAAGCAGCATCCACCGAAAATCCGGATGATTAATAAAACTGACCCAACGATGACAAGGATCTAATGCCCTTCATAACATTATGTTATTCGTAATTGCAGACTATATATGGTCCTGAATCACTGGGCAGTCCTTAGTATTTTCACAGATGTATTGATCCCGTCTTGGACTTTTCAGTATGTTGTTCCTAGACAAGGTCTGAACGCTGCGAGATAGAGGAACCCTTTGGTCAAATGAACTGACATGATGAACGAACGAAAACTGGAAATTTTGCCGAAAACTTTGCACTTCAGTAGTCCACATTATTTTGCAGCTTCAAAAGCAACAGTTTACTATGCCCATAAAGTCACAGTTTTTGATCCCTCACGATTCAAAGATATTTTGATATTGACTGAATAACTTCTACCATTACTTTCTTTGGAACTTCTCTAACAATAAGATGCTGTTCAAACTACTCCAATATGCATTACTGCGGGTAAGTTCCATGTGTTGTTAGTTCTGAGAGATTTTTTAGCAGTGAGTTTCTGATAATCGTGAACAAGGAAACTTTTGTCAGGTGTGGTATTGTAAATCAAGGATTCGACCTAAATTCAAAATATAATGTTTCTCAAAAGTAGCTCGTAGCGGGAACATACCAAATATTTGTTACATATACGAAAAGGGGTAGATATTACTGCCTGTGCTTACTAGCTTCAACAGTGATGTGAATATTACAATGATTGACGCGAAAACAGGAAACGACTATTTTTCTAAGTATGCAGCTCCGTTTTAACGTTATCCGTACATCGATGATATTGCAGATCTCTGCTAAATAAGATTTGTGCAGATATTGTTTGCTCCGTGATTTACTGTGATATTCGTGTCATGACAGTGTCGACTATTAAGGTGTAAATAAAAATCTGATACTGAACTTCCCCGTCCCCAGCTCCAATGGAACTGAAAGCATGTCTTTGTAGTTGATGTAATTGTATGCATTTTCATAGACGTTTCATAGCTTTTCAGTCTCGGAAAAGAGCTCAGTTTTCTTTTCACAGATGATAATTCCGCTAGTGCTTGAATTTTTTGAGGAAGGATGTAATAGAATCAAAAGGTTGAAGCGCGTCCAGACATCTTGGTGTTGCCTGCCAAATCCGGCGCTCTAACGGTGGTAGATGAAATTTTAGGGTTTGGAGTTATTTGTCTGTGCAATGCACTAGAAACGATTGCCATAAACTTCCTAAATACAAAATTGAGCTTGAATCCATGCTTTTTCTTTATATTAGTTTCTCCCATAATTGTACACCTTTTTTAGTGTAACCGTCGCCATTTTGCATCTTTCTTTCAGTTGATGTTCCTTGAGCTATCATTCGACAGGGCAAAGCAAGCTCTACAAGATGGCTATCAAAAGTCTGCAATCGTATTTCACGTTAAGTTGTGAGCTCAAATCTGATAGCAGTCAAAAACGTACTTTGCGGGAAAAAATCGTATCTCTGCCCCAAAAAATCTTAAAAATTTCCCATTCATCCTAGCATATGCTTGATACATCGAGCATTCAACTGTGCACTCTCCGTATTTTTTCCGTGACTAGAAATAAAGAAAAAATAATGGGGCAAAATGGCAAGCTCCGCTCATAGACCTTCTGAGCTCCTCCCACGCATGTGATCATATAGCTCATACATACAGAAGTACGATCATGTATTGTGTCGTTTGTAGGTGCCCTAGTTCTCGAGAAGTGCTGATGTTCAGGGTAAAAACGGTAAATTATTATGGGACACCCTAATAGGAATAGTCTCCAACTACTCCATACAACTAGAAATTTTCTCATTCTAAGAGTCAACATAAAAAGTTTCAATTTTTTATTCCCCAGCATGAGACAGCAGCAGCTGACGCACTATCTACAACCTAATCATTTTCATCATCAATAGCACAGTGAATACGCTCAAACGTACTAACAATAAGTTAAATCTGTGGACTGTCTCACTAGCAACAAGTTGCAGATTCTACTAAAACCATGAGTTTTGTCCATCACCCGTAATGGGTCCTCAAACTTTTTCCTTATGCCTTACGGATCATTACTTCTTTGCCGGAATGGTGATCGGAAAGTGAAATCAATCAAATCTCCAACTTAGACTAATAATCTCGTTACGTATGAAATATTTTTTATTAATAGATATACTCGATATTAATCATGCGAGGTTCACAATTTTTCCTTTACTATGAGAACTTGGAGACGAGTGGCCCAGTGGTATGAGGAACCCTATGATCGACCGGACGCAGGGTCGATCTCCCCCCCCCCCATAGGCCAACCAAGCCCTTTACCCTTCGGGACCTGTAAATTGGTACCAGCCAAATCCTTTATCCCCTATCCTTTATTATAAGAACTTTCTGCCGATTGAACTTGAACTGTTTTGGTAGAAACTTTGCAGTGTTCTTGCTTGTTGATTTATGGCTCGATGATTTTCACTGTCTGACTTGCTCTGAGCTTACTGAATAAATAATACGTTAAGAAAATCTATGTTTATATGCAGTATTTAAGAAAAATACTTGCGAGCTCTTTTTTGGCACGATTTTTCAAACATTCTTTCAGAATGTCCGCTAAAATGAAGGATTCCTCGCCAGAAAAAAAACTGCAATACTTTCCCTTTTTCTTTGATTTACCTAGTTTTGTTTTTTCTTGCCTATGGGTCCGCATTCCTAGTATTGTTTCA